AAGAAACCTGATCTTTAACAGTTGAATCTGTTTGTTATAATAAGGGAGATCCTATTTTTTAAAAATAAGTTTACATTTTTACCTGCCAGCAGCATAAATCTCTAAGGATAACATACTTTTTCCCCTACTAATAATAAATGGGAAGTGATGCCTGAATGCTTCGCAGTTTTGAAGGCAATAAATGAAGTAACTAGGAAAATCTGGTGTGTGTACTAAATCTGAGAACCGTAGAGCTGCACTCGTTCTGTAAAGTCACCTCAGTTGTTGGGATGCTCCCCAGAATTTTATGCACCCTATTGATGGAGAGTGATTTTTCTTTCCACATACATACCGTATTTCACATACACTATATATTTTGCGCCTAAAATCCATCTTGCCTTCTCAGAGGATAAAGGTATAATCATTTAACATTAGGCCTTAATGGGAAAGTGTTTGGATGAAAAGTAGTAAACAAAGAAACTGTAAAATTTATTCAGTATATCCCATGCTAGAACTCTGCTGAGGCAGGATGTGTCTGTGTCATCCAGCAAGTAAGATACACTCATAGGCGCAAGTTGTCGTCACACAGAATTGCCAGGTCTGCAACACTGTGGGGAAAACATAGAAGGGAGTTTTCTTTGACCATTCTACACTCACATTTTCAATATAAAAAAATCAAGTTGAGGGGCCAGCCTGGTGGCGTAGTGGTTAAGTTTGAGCGCTCCGCTTCGGCGGCCCAGGGTTCGCAGGTTCGTATGTATCCCGGGTGCGGACATACGCACCACTTATCAAGCCATGCTGTGGCGGCGTCCTATATAAAGTAGAGGAAGATGGGCATGGATGTTAGTCCAGGGCCAATCTTCCTCAGCAAAAAGAGGAGGATTGGCGACAGATGTTAGGTCAGGGCCAATCTTCCTCACCAAAATAAATAAATAAATAATCAATCAAGTTGGTGTATTTAGGAGAAAAAAGAACTGAGTATTGACTTTGTGTGTGTGTATGTACTTTCTGTAAAGTTCTACCTAGATATTTAAAGACCTAAATAACCATCTAATCTCAAAATTTGAGAAGTTTCTGCTTAAGTGACTAAAACATTCAACATATTAGTAACGTTTTCACTGCTGATATAACAGAAGTATTTGTCACAACCACGACAACAATGAAAGAAGAGAGACAAAAGTCCCAAATGTTGTTATTTATGATTTTTGCATCAAATCATAACTGGGAGTGAGAGAGCAAAGGAAGAAGAATACATATATTTACAGCACATATTATATTTCAGAAATCATTATGCTGTAAATCTAAGTCTACCTCACAGCATGCTAGATTGAAATATTTCAGCAATTAGTTATGGAAGCTGATTTTTTAAAATAACATGCAGTTACCTCAAATACTTAGATAATTTAGGTAAAAATATTTTATTTTTTGCATAATTATTTACACAATTGCCTCAATTCTCAAAAAATTTATCGGCATAGACTTGTCCTATGACGTCTTATCTAATAAATTTCACATTCCACCCCAGGGTCCAATCCCTATAAGTACTAATACCAACCATTTTAAGAGTCCTCGTCTCTCTTTTCATTCTGACAAGCAGACCAAATGTAAGAGTTAGAACAGTTATTTCTTTTTTTTTTTTTTTTTTTTTTGTGAGGAGATCAGCCCTGTGCTAACATCCGCCAATCCTCCTCTTTTTTTGCTGAGGAAGACGGCCCTGGGCTAACATCTGTGCCCATCTTCCTCCACTTTATATGGGACGCCGCCACAGCATGGCTTGCCAGCAGTGCGTCGGTGCGCGCCCGGGATCCGAACCAGCGAACCCCGGGCCGCCGCAGCGGAGCGCGCGCACTTAACCGCTTGCGCCACCGGGCCGGCCCCAAGTTATTTCTTTTAATCCAAATTTTCTCTTAATTAATCAACTCTGTCTTGTTTTACATTTAAATTCTCCCTGTTGTCTCTTCTCCTAAACCCCATCTGCTTTGGCCTTAGTTAGCCAAGGAGGGTAGTATATATCACTTACGCCAATTAAAGAAGTGTAAAATTCGTTCAGCAACGGAATGAAAGAACCATTACAATGCACCACACTTTTCTCATCTCATTTTTCAGTCAGAACTTAAAGCTGCATCGGCCAGAGTTTCTATGACAAGCTAACAGCTAGACATGAGTTTATATTTTTCACTTTCATGTTGTGTATTTCAATACACTATGTTGCTGCCAATAGTTATGACTGATCTACACCCAACCTGCCCTTCAGCATTTTATTAAATCTCTTCAACAGTGACTCATCGTTCATACAAAATGTACATGTGTGTTAACAAGTTTTAAGAAATCCCAGGAGGAAGACACACAGCTTTAAATGTTGTGGCTAAATGAAGTGAAGGGGAAATGCTAAAATACTGATAAGATTTTTCTTTTAATTATTGTTTCTGGAAGAATGTACCTTGGGCTTAATGCTCAATACAGGAAAAATGTTTACAAGCTCTCAAAAATGCTTTGTGTAGTTTTTTATTCCGACAAAGTAAAATGAAAACCACTTAGTGCTTATGCTGCTTTTTAGCCTCCAAGTATGCCACAGTTTCAGATTCTCTGACATCTTTAGTTTCAATATGGTACCATCTGGGTTTCCCCATTTTTGTATCATAGTTCCTACTCAAAGCCTAAAGGAAAAGAAATCTATTATCAGCCCCTTAAAAGGAGAAGGTTTAGATGAAAATTAATAAACCGTTAAAAACTCAAACTTGAGAATGTCATTGTTCATCAAACTTAAGAGAAACAATCTCTTTTACAACTTTCAGTTACTTGAGGAAAATTGTCTATGACCAACAAAGTTGTTAGAGTTGAAACAGTTGCCAAATGCAAAGCAATGAAGTGCAAGCAAAAGTCACGTCTAAGTCCACAGAGAAGTAGAGAGAATGCACGCACAGCACACAGTGCCAGGTGAGAACAGAATTAAGTTTACATCCCACGTAACTAAGTAAAAGTGATTTTTAAGCTATGGACCTGTGCAGGATTGGATATCATTGTGAAATTTAGGGTGAAATCTGCATATACTTTGAAAAATTATTATAGGGTATGTATTAAAACTTTTTTAAAGGTCCTTTTTTTCTCTTCTAATTGCAAAACAGAGGAAGTCGAATTGCCATCACTGACGGCATAGAATCTAGGAAAATGACAATTGCAGACTGCTTGGTGTCACAGGAATGCCTGCCTGCCCCAGCATCCACAGGAAACATCTCATAAGTTTGTCCACCTGTGGAAAGCAACTTGTATTGGAATCCGTTCTCTGGTAACAATGTTTATGGACGGAATTTGCTAGCAACCCTGAGGAGGAAGAGAGATGGCACGTGTGATGGATCACCCGTGTGGCAGTGCTTTGCCTTCCTTAATTAGAGCTCGCTCTGCCACTCCTTGGCCCTCAAATGGGAACATTTCCCAGGGAAATACATTTGTAGAGCCCCCATTGTATTCAAATTGCCTCACCATCTGTTTAACTTTGAAAATATATATGAATTTAGGTGGACAAGCAAAATTGATGGTCTACCTTCTAATATCATCCAGAACAATTTGAAAGACTAAGTTCAAATATGTACAATCAACAGTTTTGAAAATTAAGATACAGTGGTAGGTAAAAACAAGCAAACAAAAAAACCTCAGCAGCGACACCATTCCTGGTAACATTTAGATATAGCACATCTTCCATTCCAGCCCTATCCACTTGATTCAAAGGACTGCAAAAATTGATCTCTCAGGGCTGCGGGAGGGTCACAGAAATTGATAACCCTTACAAGCAATGCTTATGTGAGTCTGTCTGTGTCTTGCAGATAGTGCACTTTGTAAATTAATCCTCCAAAGGCAAATATATTGTAAGTAGCTTGTTATCTCTAAAATACTAAATTGAAGAATACATGGGATTATATTGACAGAAATTACATTTTCTGTAATGGGGTTTAATATATCTGAAATCTCTCCCAAAGGCTCCCAGGCTCTCTAACAGAGACGAGTCTGTTAATGTAGGTGCAATGGACATCAAGAACAAATTTATTCACCAAAATGGATTAGGCCATGTAATCAGAGATTCTGTAATATTAATCTTTGACACTTATTGAACAGAAAGAAATACTTCTGTCTGCAAACTGGCATTCCCAGTTCTCCCCTTTCTTCAACCAGGCTTTGGGCCCTTTCTGGATCTTACTTCAAAGAGGATAAAGTTTCCCCATCATAAACACTAATCTAAAAATATTAGGACAATTAATTAGATACACTTAGTTTTAGAGGATATCGGATTTCGATACCTTTCAAATATGACACTAGCTCTCAGTGATTATATGAACCCGGCTTTCAGCACACTCACAAAGGGTAATAAATCATACTTTCTCAAAGCCTCGTTGCCACACCGCCGTACATTAAGTCAGAAGATTGTTGGCTGGTTCTTGGTCCGTAATCTCAGCTTCCCCCCAAATCAGGAATTTACACATTTATTTAGAAACAATATCGCATAGCCCAGAGATACATCAAGTTTTGAATAGCTTCAAAGTAGAAACGTAAATAATTTTTCCTTTTCATCAGAAGAGAGATAAGAGGAAAGGAAAGACTCCTTGAATGCAGAGCCCTAACAAAATCTAACTGAATTTATTCAATGAATTTCAAACCTGACTGGTATGTGATAGTGGATTTTCTTGTTTCATAGAAAATATGATACCACTCTTTCTATCCCTTATCCTGAAGGGTAAAAAAAGCCAGAGAGAGAGATTTACAGAGCCATAGTGAATGTGAATTAAACACTTACTTATACCATACCAAAATTTTGTTAATTTATAGAGGGGGAAAGCAATACAATGGTTCTTTTCCATTCTGGCAAGTGCTCTCAACCTATCAGTCCACAGTTTGTTTTCACCTTTGCATCGACAAGCCACCAGGGAAAACAGTGACAACTGGGTGTGTCTTCTTAATGCAAAACATTAGCTGCAGGTTGCCAGAGGGGGGAAGCAGATTGTGTATAAACACAAAGCCAAATTACTTACCAATTGTTCACTTGAAGGATAGTGAGTCCCGTGTCTTGTGCCAACTGCTTTTTCTGTTCTTCAGAAGGGTATGGATGCTGAAAGAGAACAAAAAAGATGGGTGAATGCACATATACTTTGAACTGATAATGTCTTGCATATCACATATAAACATGACTCCCTAGGGGCTAGGGAGTCAATAATAAACACATATGCTCTGTAAAAAAAAAAAAGATACATGCACATGAGGCAATATTTAGGCTATTTTGTCAATAATTTAAGTGTCTAGTGAAGTCTATAATTAAAGGTAAAAATGCTGAGGTGTGTCACTCTTATTAATGGAATACTACATCATCTAATTAATGGCAGTAAAAGACAAGCCAATTACAAAGATTAGTGAAGTGTATAAATAGCTACTTAGGATACTTGCAGAACCTTGATACTGAGTTTATCCTTTAACAGGTTTATTTGTTGCAAACACAAAAAGTTTAATATGATCTTTACCGTATTTTATAGGATTAAAATAAGGACAAGCCCTTTTTGACCATATAAAAGTGTACCACCTTGATGTAATATTTTTATAAAACCATGGATTTCTAAAGCTGAATCATTTGGACCAAGAATCTCAGCTGAGGTTCCCAGGAGTTAAGCACCTTGTTATGACCTTCTCCCTCCAAAACACCATATTGCCAGATACAAATATCAAATTAAAGTGGGTGTATTTTTTTAAACCACTATTTATTTTAGCTCTTCTGCAAAGCACAAACAAATGAAATTCAAACAAAGTTAGTTTCCATATCTGAATGTCAACACATGCTGGGATTCTGACCACAGGCCAATATAAGGTCAAAGACCAGCATATTTTGCGTGCTAAGAACAAGCCCAGCTATGTTCCTCATGAGTTAGAGGGGATAAAAAAGTATTTCGGGATTAGATAATAAAATGAAATCCATACCTTCTTCTAAGAATGTTTAGAATTCTACTGAAATCAGTTTTGGCGCAAATACCTTCTGTTCAATAGTCAACTATAGCTAAATTTGAAATATACATTTCTAAAGACTGGGAGAGGAGCTGAGGACATGGTTTCCATCTATGGAGACATTGGCTATTTTGAATCACTGTATCCCAATAAATTCTGCCAGGATAAAAATTGTTCTGATAGTCAACCTTCTATTCTTTTATGAATGGGAAAGGGCACCCCCAACTCTCAATTTAACTATTTGTGCCATTGGAAACTAAATTCTGGTCTATCAAATGTTAATTAACATAGCTTTTAATCTCATTAACAATGTCTGATTAGATGCTAAGAAGGCTCGTTAATGACCACTTCAATGCTCTTATATATAAGTTTAAATATGTTCTATATCTATACACATGGGATTCATTTGTGGAGAGCAGAGATGTAGCAATTTTTCCCATAAGGATTGTCTTTGATTGTCACTTAATCAATAAATACACAATTAGAATAAGGCTTTGCTTTCATGGAATATAGTGCTTTCTCTAAAGAGCTCCAAATATATTACAGACAGGATGGTAATTAATCCTCATTATACCCCTTTGAGGGACATAAATGGAATCTATTGTCCCTCCTGTTTTACAGGTGAGGAAACTAGCCAGGGGAAGGCATGGTCAGCAGTGACATGACTCTGTGATATTTCCTGCTTCCCTTCTAGTATCTAAGCCTCACCATGACCCAGGGATGTGGCAAACGCCTTTCATAATCTCTAATCATGTCCCCTGCTCAAAAACCTCTAGACTGCTTACTACGGCTTGCAAGGCTAGCCACCATCCAGCCCTGCCCACCTCTCGGACTTCGTCACCTTCTCCTCATCTCCACCCTACCCCTCTGCCCAGCCACACACGCCTCCTTTCTGCTCTTCGAACATGCCAGGCCTTGTCCCTACCACTCAGTCTCCTGTTCCAATGTCACTTTCAGGTCTCAGCTCCAATGCCAAGCCTTTCCCACTCTCCACCAGCCTACCTTATCACTATTACATCAGTCTTTTTCTTTTTTCCCTAACAGCAAGCATCAGCTCCCTGAAACACCTGTTCTGATCATTTGTTTCCCGTTGTTGTGTCTCTTCCCACTCAGTTAGCAACTCTGAAATCTGTATCTTTCTCGTTCACCATCCTCCAAACCCAGGAAGTAACAGGAAATCAGTAAATATTTGTGGAACAAAGGAATGGCTACGGCTTGCCATAATACACTGATGCTCTCCACTCAGATGCAACATCAAAATGTATAATAAAAATTTTTTCCAAGCCCACAGGAAGTATAAACAACCCAATTTGAGATCCACAACAGTACTTTCCCTTACTTCATTCCTAAAAGCGATGTTAATCCACTTTTTTCAAATAAAAGTATATAAACCTCGTAATAGGCTAAGATCATAGGTGACAATCACCCTATTCAACATGACAGTCCTCACAACCAAAATCTCATCATTGCTAGAAGCAATCCACTACCCTAAGGTTTAAAACATAACTCCCACTGCAGAAAGCTTTGTCACACAATGCAAACCAAATGAATTTCTTATCCTATGAATAGAATACTGAATTTTAAGGTTTGATAAATAGTAGTTTTACGTCTACACGAGTTGAAGAATTGTACATAGGTATACACGACCCTATTAGATTGTATAAATTATGCCGCCAGTCCACGACTATGAGACTTTGAAAAAAGGACAATTTTTCTAATCCTCAATTTTGTCATCTGGAATTCCAAGATCCATCAAAGTTAAAGGTTACCCAGGCTAGCAATTCTTCCAGAATAGAAGCCTGATTTTGAAATATGCAAATTTTAGCATCCAGCTGTTGGCACCAATTGCCATATAAAATTAGACTGATGTACACAGGTCGTTTCCAATCTATAACATTTTCTGTAATTTTATTTGCTTACGGTTTTGCAGGTCCTATGGAAATCTCTTGCAGTGATTTTCGGTAGAATTAACAAATATGTCAACAGTCTCTTTTCACTACAGCTGGATGGCAAGACCTATTGCCCTTCCTTGTTAGTTGTGTCTTAACATTATGACCAGAACTGGATAAAAATTAATATTTATGCCATTTACCTTTAGTTACTCTGAAAATTGAGAATTGTCACAGTCATTTATTTGTGCTGTGTTTTCAAGAGTATTTTTGCATGCCTGTTTGTGAGCAAGTTTTACATCCATTCTTATAAAGCAAACAGAATGCACATTTTATTTATGCAAGTGGTGTCAGGAAAATTCTCTTTGGATCATTAAAATTACCTGAATCATTACAGCTTCAAAGAGCAATCAGATGGCCCTCAAAATTTCAGTGCAAATTTAGATTGTTTCTTCACATCATGCAGTTTCTGATTTCATAATTTAAATATCATAAAATGAGAACGTTCTCCCCTTTTTTTGCCTCTGTCACTTTTCATGTGATCTGATTTTAAGTAATTGGAACAAACTGCGTCTAATTTCATGCAGCATAATTGCTAGGCAGCCTCAAGCTATGGAGACCCAGCACTCTGTCTCCATTAAATAATTTTCAGTTGTTCAGGATATATTTTTTTTAATAGAAATGGATGAGCCTGGACAAAATTAAATGTCATAATAATCTGGTCATTGTTAAGGGGGGAAAACAGTATCAACAAAATTCCTAAACCTGTCTACGGTAGGTCAACTGAATGTTTTTCTTCTTGTCATAGTTCTTGGCTTGGTGTCCCGCAAACTTTCAACCCCCTGAAAAAACTCTGTAATTGCTAGAATCACATGAAAGCCAGGACTTGAGGTAGTTAATCCCGAGTCAGCCAAAAATTCACAAAGAAGTAGGCTTTTTAACTGAAATCTGATGTTTAAATGTTTTAAATTCTATGCATCTTTACTAGATAAGCTTTGTGTGGACAGTATGAGTTATTCCTTTGTAGACTTAAAAAAATATGACTTGACAAAAACCCAACAGACTACAGGCAAGGCTGCTTTAAAAACACTCAAAGCCCTGTGGCCTTCTACCCACAGGGCTAGTGAGGGCATGAGATGGCCAAAGGTAGACTTCATTTTATGAAAGAGATAAAGAGAAGTGCCATGTCAGGAAGAAATGGGAAATGCATTCCAAACCACCGCAACTAAGGGCCTAGGTCACCCCTTGCCGTTCCCCTGACCACCTTCGCTGTGATGGCATCTAAAAGGCAAGGGCACTAGTTTAAGAAAGATCAGTAGGTTCTTGTGAAGGAAAGACGGATTGCGCTTGCCAGATATACCAATCAACCTAATCACTTTGGGATATCAAAGCAAATTTGACCAGTCCAATAGACAGTGACAGGAGACCTTCCTTTTGTTGTGTACATTAGCCTCATGCCATTATCTCTTAAAAGCTTAATTATTTGCAAACAATTGATCAAGACGGGAATTTGAGAAAGGATATGCAAGGGCCGCTGGGAGAACCGCAATGCATTAAGAGAGCAAACAAAATTACCTTTAGATCTTACAATAAGAATTAACGATTGAGACGGGAGAGCTCAGCAGTGCAGTAGCTGCAAGGGTTCTTTCTCGAGTGTTTCCCATTTGATCTGCATTAACACCTCGGGAACGAATGAAAGCCATAAAACAGTGATTATGTATGGGTAAAGCTGACCCTCCCTTTCAGCATTAAACCTGCACACATGTATTAGGCCAGCCTCACTGGGGAGAGAAGAGATGCTAGACTCAAAGGGAAAATAAGTGGCTTGTGGGCAGTGGAACGCCAGCTTAAGGAAATAACTCACAAAATGATCATCCATATTTCAATAATCAACGCCCTGGCTTTTCCGTTCCAGAATAAGTCTCTTGCTGAAATATAAGCAGTTTGCCACTCTTCCTGTGCTTCTGCATCTGCAGTTCAACTTCTAATAATGACCTAGTATGGCAGTGATTGCTTAATAACCCCATCAAAGAATAAAATGATCCCTAGAGTATGTGTCCTGTGTCATAGAAATAGGTAAAGGATGTCTGAAAAAAATCTAAAAATAGCTTACATAAAAGTTAAGTTTGAACTGTCATTTTACCAGCCGCGAAGCATAGAAAGTGACAGAAAGAAAATGGCAACTTTCTAAAGAAAGTTATCTCTGCACAAATCCAATTTTATTTCTTGA